GGTGTTCGTTATCGAATTACTCTAAGGTCCGATGATTCGATCTCAAGTCAACTGCAACTTGACTGCTGACCAAAAAGTTAACTCTCAAAAACCGTTTTTCAATGTCAGGTTTGTCCTAAAATGGTAGAGAACCATATATGGGATAGCTGTAAACTTGTAGACCGCTGAAGTTAACTTCCAAGTCATAGTTTCCAGTTAACAAGCGATAGAAAACCGGGCCTAACTTTTTAAAAGTGTTCCGAATAAATGTGGGCATTATTAACTGAAAAGCAAGTATACCAGTATTGCTAAGATGTCAAAATACTAGCTATATTTTACTAGTAATTGACGCTAAACATATATGCCAAAAATTATATAAACATACATTTTTACTCAGCATATTTATGTGTACAAATAGTACGTATCACAAAGTTATCCTGTTTTTAAAAACAATCATACTAAATATTTTTATGCAGCACTGGAATACCGAAAAAGCAACGAACACTACACGGGCCGTTTGAGATCTGGGGAAGTTTCAATTAATAGATAAAATATAAAGTACAGTTAGTCAGAGTGCCATCAAGTTGATAAAATCACAAATGGAATCGAATATTTACATATAGGTAAATAAGTGATTACGAACAACGAGCTGGTTAGTTATTTGATCTGGTCAATGGTAGCCACGCCACAGCCTTGTAGAAAAAGCATTACTGACTTTTTTGTCGCTTCTGATCTTTTTTGAAGTACAAAATGTATGTAAGCATATTTTTCTACATTATGTACTTTGCAAATGCTTCACAGGGGGTTTTTCTGCAATTGGTCATGCATCGCTAATAATTTGCTACCTAGCAAAGGGATTCAAAGCTGTATTGTTACGATTTTCTTTTGTATAACAACTTGATGGTATCTTATGTACATAGTGACTCAGTGACATACAAAATGCAACACCCGGAATTATTTATTGAATTTTGATAAAAACTTTTAAACATATTTGCTATCCGCGAAGTACACGCTGATAAAATGTTGAAGGCATTTGTTTTTGTAAAGGATTTTTTTTCCATATCAGGATCTGAACAATATGAGCCTGTTTACTTAAAGGCGGGTACTCATTAATCAATCGTATTGATCAATAATAATGAATCTGTGCCATTGAACATAGAATTGAATGGTAAATTTGATCACGCTGATCCATGAATATTGAATATTCACTCTATAATCTGGTTTAAAAATGGCTCTAAGGCGAAAAATTGTCCGTGCTGGCGTTCGTATTATTATTACGGTCAACCACCGTCCAATTTACTTGATTGATTTCCGTAAATCCACGAAAGTATAAATGTGATTCACTTTTATAGAAACGCGAGTTATGTTGCTGTCAATTAACACTTTATTAATTGATATAATAATTGCATTGTATTCCTGTTTACTAGCTCATCACTTTTGGTTTATATTAACGATTTTATCTTAATTATGAGTCAGTCATTCAATCTCAGTCACAGCGAACACACACACTGTAATTCCGGTTCGGTCCATGTACAATATTGTTGGAACCAAATAAAGTTTTTTTAAAATGAAGTTCCGACTACATAATTCGCGAATCGATAGAACAATATGGTTGAACGGATGTTCACATTAGACTATTTCACTTCAATGGCTTAGATTCATTACTATTGATCAATAAAATTGACTAATGAGAACGCGGCTGTATATTCAGTGATTTGTTTTGTGTTGGATCCATTGTTTCATTGCATTATCATGCCTAGAGTTCGCAGACGCGCTAATTTCACTCAACTTTCCGAGTTTGAGGGAGGTCGGAAATCGGATTACGTGAAGCCGGATTTTCTTTTAGAGAAATCGCTAATCAGGTGAATCGAAACGAAGCTACTGTAATTAAATGTTGTCGAACATGGTTCCAAGAAGGCCGAGTTTATCGCCGAATAAGGACTTTTGGACTGTTTCCATACTGTCCCTATCTTAAAAATCTTAATCGATTTCTATTTATCGGTATATCTAAATCTTGTAAAAGTACGCTCAAAATTACAGCACGCCTAGTCGGTGTTGCAATTTCTATGTCATTTAGTATATTTGAGAAAAATTGCTTCGAAAAGAACTACATATCTATAACTCACATACTTTCGCTTCTACGTATTTAAATAACATTAATTTTACGCATTTATACAATCATACAGGGTGATACAAAGTATCACATTTATCCTTCTAAATTTTTATTACTACATTGATGTATTGTTTTCTAGATTTGTATCTACGAAATTTGCTCGATATCTTATTAGAAAAGATGCAAATGAGTATGGAATATTTGGAGAAACGGATCCTACGGCTGTGTATTCGGAAAACAGTACACTGAGTACAAAGGGGGGAAATATTTAGACATTAAGTATTAAAGCATAAACCGGAAGATCGTTGAATCTGCACAAAAAGAACCATGATTGTCAAGTTTCTCAGTGGACTGTGTCCAACCTCTCAAAACAATTATGTTTTCTGCAATCCTACTAGTAAACTGTGTTTCCATATATTTTGTCAACTACTTGCTCATATACAGGGTGTCCCATTTTCGATGATATAACAGGAGGACTCACTTACTAGTAGAGATAGAGTTGTGGTTTTAGCAATTTTTTGCTAATTTTTGTGAAAAAAAGATGATATAAACGAAATTTCCATAGCCCGCTTCGAATGTGAGATACAGGGCGAAATTGAAAATATCTCATTTTGGGACCCCCGTCGTTATCCTTTATCATATATCGCAAAGCTATAAACTGGCTTTACACAATTTTTCACGTAGAATCCAGTGGCGCAGTCATAAGGCGGGTTTCGAGAAGCAATGTTCTCGAATTCGTCCTGTATCACAGAAACGAAGACAGCTATGAAAATTTTATTCATACCACGAAAACCGCAACTCTATATCTTTCCTCATAATGAAATGGGACACTCTGTACACCTGATATTTTATGCCATAGGAACCGCAGTCCAAATATTCAACGCTAAATCCGCACCACTGTATGATTTCTTACAGGGTGCTCGAGAAATTCAGCTACTACAAAATGTAAATATCTTCATTGTATCACCCGGTCCGGAATCTTGTGGAATGCAAATTTTGATTCACAAAAATACGATTTCCCTCAAAAATATATAAACTTGAACACATTAGCAGACTGACTGGGACTACCCACTAAGCATGCACAATCGTTTAGGGATGAGTGTTTATCAGAAAGCAGTTCCGTCATGTCGGAAACATCGAAATCGGATACTCACCCCTACAGATGTCACCATCTCTTGCCAATGGGATCGAACAAACGTTTATTCTTACATTTCATGCATGTTACTAGAGCCTACTTCGAAAACTCATCAAAGTATTTCCGAATTTTACCGAAGGCGCTTCTAGTCGAGCAATGTTTTTCGCATTGCGTAGGTGCAGCAGACTAGCCAGCAACATTGCTATACTACACTATTTAAAAATGTAATGACTCTTACGCATGATCAACACGGGTCAGAGCTCGATCCCGGCTTCCTTCCAGTACAGCCGTATAGCGTACGACATATGTCGTTCTGTGGCTTTGCGGTAGTCAACAGCACAGACAGAGATGGAAATACTGGCTGATTGTTCTCCGCCGGTAGAACAATGAAATCAAAGACGCACCTCGACCGGCAGACTCATAGGCGTCGGCAACGCATTGGAACGTGTTTCGTTGAGCGATCGCATATTGTGTGTTTTTATAAGAATTGTTGTGTGATTGTTATTGTTGTGGTTTCTGTGTTACTGTTACTAAAGAAGAAAACTGGAGCTTACTACTGATCCAAAGTTTAATTTGAAGGGACGAAAGGCCGTTAAATTGGATGACGATAGCAAAATGGCGTTAAGGCGAACCGTACATTCATTCTTCTTTAGGAATGAGATACCAACCCTCAAGGCTGTACATGCAGCGATCAAGGAAAATGAAATTATACCCCAAATAAGCGTCGAGGGTAATGAGGAAATCCCTGCACGAAATTAATTTTCGTTACGAAACGCGTGATCGGAAGTCAGTATTGATAGAGAGACCTGAAATAGTCGCCTGGCGTCGAAAATACCTACGCGAAATGATTGAATATAGGCGACAAAGCAGAAAAATCTATTATTTGGACGAGACATGGGTAAATGCAGGTCACACAGTTAAAAAAACCTGGATAGACAAAAACGTAGTGAGTAACGACAAGCAAGCATTGAAGGTTTGTCAACAGGTCTTCGTGGACCGTCAGGGAAAGGTCAAAGATTGATCGTAACTCATATTGGTAGCGATAGTGGCTTTTTAGAAGAGTGTGACTTGATTTTCGTCTCTAAGAAAGTAGGTGATTACCATGACGAAATGAATGCCAGCGGCTTAGAGAGCTGGTTTCAAGGGGTGCTTC